CATTACATTTTGAAAATGAAATGTATTTTAATAAACACTGTCTTTATAATGATAAAACAATTAAAAGGCAACTTACAATTTGGGAGAAAATGTTTGCAAATCATATATCTTACAAACAGTTAACATCCAAAATACTATATAAAGAACTCTTTTAATTCAATAGACAAAACACACAAAACTACACCATCGAATTTAAAAATGGGTAGTGGATCTGATAACTAATCACGGAAACCTGATTGCCCACCTCCCTCACAGTGCCCTGCCCTAGCTGCTCTCTCTAATCCTTGACAAAATGCTTCTGTGCTGCTCTCAGTGGTGAGGGTTCTGGATGCCCTATATCCTCCCCCAACCATCTCTGTATGCCCACTCCAAGCCCCTGTACCATCACATCTCTCGAAGCGGCTAGTAAGGATCTCTCCAGATGAAGAACTGAATCCCTGAGCACAGCGACAGGCAGTGGCGTTGACACATTTGGAGTTCAGAGGACACCACCAAGCACAGTCTTCCGGGGTAGAGGCTGTGGGTATGGAGAGCATGGTCAGAAGGCCCATGAAATGGAAGAAGTCAGCTACCAGCTGGGGATCCAAGGGCTTGTAGGAGGGGGTGAGGAGAATGAAGATGATGCCAGACAAGCAAGAGCCACCCAGATAGTGGCTGCCAGGGGTAGAGTGGGGGAGAGAGGGAGTTATGGCTGCCCCTGGACTTAGAAGAACTCAGAAAATTCTGGACATTTAGGGAGGAAGAAATAGCTTCTCTTATTTTCAGAAGACCCTCTCTGGGCCTCTTCAGAGTAAGCGTCCTTTTTCCCTTGTTAGTGAGAGGACCCGGACCCCAACAAGCACTACCCAGCTTATTTTACTAATTGCCCTGGCTGGGCAGACTCACCTTTAAGGGTTTTTGCTGCAGCAACCAATGTCAATTCGAGATGCAAAAAGAGTCCTGGGGCAGAAAGACAGAGAGATGATCAAGATAGGAAAGTGGAGCTCCAATTTCAACCCCTGTCCACATGGCCACTCCACCTGAGAGGTGGCTCTGGCCCTGCAGCCCACAGCTTTCTGGCAGCTTCTCTGAGGTTTCTATACTTGGAATCAAAGACTCTGTCTTTTCCTTCCATTTCCTGGGACTCCCCAAGGAGTCAGTCACTGACAGTCAGGGAACCTCAGGTGCTACAGGTAAGGGGATAGAACATACACACAGCTGATGACAGGGACACATCTTAGAAACTCCAACCTTTCCAATGGAGATGATACATCTTAAAGGAGAAAGTCCTCAGGTTGGTTTGCCTTTTCCCATGTCCACATTCTTTGTTCCTTGGCAATGGCAGATATCTGCTTTGAAAAGACCCTACTCTCTCCTCTTAGTGAGTAGCTGCCAGTTCTTATTCACATGGAGGTATCCTATGGGTGAATGTTGTGGCTTCAATGCTCTGTTGTCCAGATGTGGATGGAAGTGTCCTGAGTTCTCCCTGTCTTTTAGCCCCTGTGCACTTGCTTCCCTGGCAGCTCCCAGGTAGGGCGGGGACATCATGTTTACATGTGTTCCAGTCTGAGGATTTGGACAAAGACCAGGGTGGGCCTTCCTGAGAGCCAAATGCAAGAGAAATGTGTTCCCTGAGCAGTACCCAGCTTGGCTCCTGGTGATGGCCTTTGTCCTGCCTACTGTAGTACAGCTGCTCTCTGCCTTATTTCTCCTTGGAACTGGGTGATGCTGGCAGGACAAAGTTCCCCTTCCATGCTAACTCTGAGACTCAAGCTGGCCCAAGACCCACCCATGAACCTGACTCCTCAAGGGGCTTGGAGGAAGGGGAGAGGAGAATAAAGATGATGCCAGACAAGCAAGAGCCACCCAGACAGTGGATGTCAAGCCATGGTAGACAATGGGGGTTGATGTCCAGCCATGTAGGCTTGGGGTGGTGAAGGTGCCTCTTATGATCCCCACAAAGGCATCCCCTGAACTGACAGGAAGTGGTGAGAATTCACTTCTGAGTAAGGCCAGCAGTAGGTAAGGGCTGGGTGGCTGAAGAGGGGAGCAGGTGCTGATGGGCCAGGGGTGGCAGCTGTTTCTGTCATCTGGCTCTTTGATCTCCATCAGGGACACCGATTTGTAGGTCCTGCTGAAGGGGGCTCAGTTTGGGCCCCCCTGTGGCCTGAGTTGACCTCTACAGGAGATGTTTGGGCCGGGGACAATGATGTCCAATTACATCCTTTCTTTCAATCTCATCCAGATAGGAGCCTCTTCCATTTACCCAATTTTCTGAGTCTGTGTGGGGTGGTCTATGTCACCCTGCCCACCTCCAACACAACATCCTCCTGGGTCCTATTTATCTGAGTTGCCCACAGGCCCATGAACTGAACTTACTGGATTGGATCAGGGTGGAGCCTTGTTTGGGAAAATAGATTTGGCTGAGCGGCTGAGAAGTAGGGTCAGGGTGCAAGTAGGGGCTTTACCAGGTGTGGTTGTTGGCCAGGGCAAGGCCAGCTGGGGCACATGGGCCAGCCCTTGACTCTTCCTACGCCCACATTTCTGAACAGGGTTTATCAAGGCCTGAGGGATCTGAGAGTGCTCCTGGGGTGGCCAAACCCATGTGGACTCTAGTGAGGGAAGGTCTCATCTTGGCAGTTACATGAAGAAGAAATGGATATTGCACTGGAATGCAGTACTCTGTGAGCTCTTGAAGTATCTTGAATGCTACCCCTTTCTTTGTTGTATGAAATTAAGATGCCAAGTAGCAAGAGGATGTTCCAAAATTGCATAAGTGGCACTTGGTAGGGGCATTCAGAGCCTTGGGGTTCAGAGAGGGTGGGTGACCTGGTAAGTGCCCAGGCTACCTCTTTGATGACCTGGAGAAAGAGTTGAGAATCCAAAACCTTATGAATGAGAAGGTGGAAGACATGGGATCCTTCTTACCATCACACGGGTCGTCAGGATCAATGAGGAACATTGCCTCAAAAACCGGCCTGTAATCTTGGCTACACCTGCAGTAGGTCTTCATGAAGTCTTGGCAGTTTAAATATACTTCACAGGACACTGTTGAGTGTGGTCCACACTCTTTGATGTCTGTAATACAATAGGACAAAGTGTCACCTCTCAAAGGCAAAAGTTCCTATTGGGCAGAGACCTGTCTTCCAGTCTGACCCTATCATGGGTGATGGACAGAACACAGGTCCAGGGTTGCACTTCTAGGATGGGGCTGGGCATAATCAGCTGCTACTGACTCCTTTGCCCATCTTTACTTTCTGAGGCACCTGCATTCAGACACTCTGCTGTGTCATGTTGGGATTGAAAGGAGGTCTGCATCCCTCTCTTCAGGCCTTGAGGGGTAGATGGAGACACTGATTCAGGCTCCAAACCCTCCTTTATGATGCTATTTGCATCACTGGTGACTTAGGAGTGGTCTCCTGTTAGGGTGACAGTGGATTTGATGGCCATCCTCAATGCTGAGGTTGTGGAGGGAGTCATGGATGGGGGCTGTACAGGGTGTCATGGCACTCATCATGCACCTGGAGATAGAGCCAGGTGTCAGCCCCTGGCAGGGGAGTGGTTAGGGGGCAACAGGCAGGCAGGCAGGCAGGCGAGCAGTTGGGAGCCAGCAGTCCCGGATTGTGAGAGGGATGTCCACAGGGATCGGGCCTAAACAGGCAGTCGGACATCCCCCGAGGGGTCCCAGATTGGAGAGGGTGCAGGCTGGGCTGAGGGACATCCCCCCTGCCCCCAGTGCACGAATTTTGTGTACCAGGCCTCTAGTGAAAATAACAATTACAGTAACAGCAGTAACAATGGTAATAGCTCACATTTGTTGACAATTTCTCTGCACTCATCTTAAAATTTTTTTCATGCAGGTAACTATGAAGTCTTACACCATCCATGTGGGGTAGGTACAATAATTATCCCCAATATACAGACCAGGAAACTGAGGGAGAGGAGAAATAATTTCCTGAAGGTCAGAGAGCCACTTAGTGGCAAAGCTAGAGTTAGAACCCACACAGCCCAGATCCATTGTGTAAGCTCTAAACACCCTTCCTACTAATTACAAAAACCTAACTGCCCACTTCCCTCAAACTATCCTGCCCTGTCTCCTTGCTCTAATCCTTGACAAAATGCTTGTGCTGCTCTGGATGCACCACAATCTACCCCAATAATCTCTTTATGTCCCTCCCCCCTCTCCCCAAAACCTCTGTACCATTGCAACTCTTCAAGTGGCCGCTGGTGAAGACACTACTTGATGCAGCACTGAATCCCTGTGCGCAGTGACAGGAGCGGGCATTGACACATGGAGGGTTCGGAGGGCACCATCGAATACAGGCTGTGGGGTGGAACAGTGAGGATGGAGGCCATGGTCAGAGGGCACAAGGAATGGATAAAGCCATGGACAACTGTGGGTTCAAGACTAGAGGAGGGGAGATAAGGGAGGGATGGCTGCTATTGGAAGAGGAATAGACAAAAAAATCTGGGCATTTAGGGAGGTAAAACAGCTTTTCTTATCCCCAGAAGACCATCTCTGAGCCTCACTTGCAGAATAAGCCTCCTTCCCTCCCAACTGGTGAGAGGACCCAGACCATAGCCTGCACCCCCAGCTTAATATCACTAATGGGCATCTGTGTGGGCAGACTTACCCCTATCCTTCTGGGCTGCAGAAACCAATGGCAACAACAGCAGCACTGACAGTTCTGGGACAGAAAAACATGAAGAGAAGACAAAGAAAAGAGAGTCAATCTCCAATTTCAAAACCTGGCTGCATGGCCATTGCTTCCTTTGGAGGTGGTTCTTGCCCTGCAGCCCATGGCCTTCCAGCAGGTTCTTCGTGTACTTGACTGGGAATTGAGGACTCAATCTTTCCCCTCCACCTCCCAGAAAAACCTGAGAAATCAGTCACCAACAGATACAGTCCTCATGGATCCACAGGTGCCACAGGTAAGGGCATAGAACATACATGACAGATGCTGATAGGGACACGTCTTAGAAACCCCAACCTGTCCCAAAGGAGGGGATAGATCTTCAAGATCCCTTTGCCCAGATCCAGTTTCTTGTTCTCTGGCAATGGTAGAAATCTGAGGATTTCTCTTCCAGGATCATTTCCCCTGTTAAATGTACATTTTCTGGGTATACAAAAGGAGCTGGGTATTAGAATTAGACTCCCAAAGTGTGAGCCCTAGCTCACAGTGTCAGCAGGGGTAAGAACCCTGGAATGGAGAGATGGGGGCTAATGAGAGGTGAGGAGTGAGAATGAAGGCAGCTGCAGGTAGAGTCACTATCTCCTGGTTAAGTGGCCTCTCCAGGTATAGCACCCATGGCTTCTTTGGTTCCTTCCACATGAGCTCCTGGTCCTCAGACAGCACCGAGGGCACCGCCTTTGCCCTTTTTCTTCCAGTTCAGCCCTAAGGAATAAGTCACTGAACAGGCTTTGTGGTCTGAAAACCACTATAGGTGCGGAGGAATGAAACCTACCCTCCAGGCAATAACTGGATCACATATGTAGAGTCCAACCTTTCATGCATATGAGCCAGTGAACCCTATGCAAATTCAGCTCTGTGTGCCTTTACAAGAAGTTTCTAAAATGTGTCCATTCTTAAAAACGTCATGTACCACAAATCAGATAATGATAAAATGTGGCTATGTTTCATAAAAATCAGGAAGCAAATTACAACCAATGGGGACAACCTAATAGAAACACCGAACTTACTAGGTAACAGTTATTATCCTAAGCATTGAAGGAAATAAAGACTAACCAGACTTTGGCTGACCTCGTTAATATAGATTTTTACTAATTCACTATCCTTTAAATCATGCCATGATACACACACAAAGATGATGTATTTCTTAGCATAATAGAGTTTTCAGATAGTTTGATTATCTAACCTTCTGAAAAAAAGATGATATGTGATAGTTAATGTTATGTATCAATTTGGTTAGACTACAGTACCCAGACATCTAGTCAACATTAGTTTACTAGAGGCCCGGGGCATGGAATTTGTGCACAGGTGGGGTCCCTAGGCCTGGCCAGCGAACAGGGCCAATTGGGGCCAGGCCAGAGAGGAGGCAATGGTTGCCAGGCTGGGTACGGAAGGAACGGACACCAGATGCCAATTCAGCCATCATCGGCATCCCACCACCGCATGGTTCCCCGCCTCCCTCCCCCCTCCTCCCTCACTGCTGCTACCACTGCAGTTGGGTGGCAGGTCGATTGGGGCCTGCCAGCTGGGGGGAGGGACAGGGCATGGGAGGTTGGCCGCTGGCCCCGAGGAGGGAGCCAGCCCTCAGCCCCCCTGGGAAAGAGGCGGTGTCTGCCACCACCCACCCCTGGTTCCCAGTCCCAGCCTGGGGGCTGGCCCCAATCAGATGATCAGGGCCTACCGGCCAGGAGGAGGGACTGGTGGAGTTTGGCCAGCCTTGGGAGGTTGGCTGTGGGAGCACACTGACCACCAGGGGGCAGCTCCTGCATTGAGCGTCTGCCCCCTGGTGGCCAGTGCGTGTCATAGTGACCAGTCATTCTGGTCGTTCCGGTAGCTTAAGCTTTTATATACAGTATATAAAGACTAGAGGCCCGGTGCACAAAATTTGTGCTGGGGGGGAGTCCCCTCAGCTCAGCCTGCACCCTCTCCAATCCGGGACCCCTTGGGGGATGTCCGACTGCTGGGAATCAGGCCTAAACCAGGTTGGACATCCCTCTCACAATCCAGGACTGCTGGCTCCTAATCGCTCATCTGGCGGCCTCCTTTTTGCCCCTAACTGCCGGCCTCCTTGGTCACCCCTCATGGCCCCACCACTGGCCTGGTCATCCCATGCAGACTGCTTGTTCAGTCGTTTGGTCATCCCTCACTAACCACCCTGCCGACCTGGTTGTAGGCAACCATCTTGTGAGGGTGTGAAGGTTAATTTGCATATTACCTCTTTATATAGGGTGTTATAGGGTGTTGCTGTGAATGCATGTTTTTTTTAAAAAAAATATATTTTATTGATTTTTTTACAGAGAGGAAGGGAGAGAGATAGAGAGTTAGAAACATCGATGAGAGAGAAACATTGATCAGCTGCCTCCTGCACACCTCCCACCAGGGATGTGCCTGCAACCAAGGTACATGCCCTTGACTGGAATTGAACCTGGGACCCTTGAGTCCGCAGGCCGACGCTCTATCCCCTGACCCAAACTGGTTACGGCTGAATGTGTGTTTTTAAAAAATCTTTATTGTTGAAAGTATTACATATGTCTCTCTTTTCCCTCATTGACCTCTCCCAGCCTACCCCTACTCCCCACACCAAGCCTTTACCACCCTATTGTCTGTGTTCCTGAGTCATGCATATATGCATACAAGATCATTAGTTGATCTCTTCCCACTCACCCTACTCTAGAAATGGTTGAGTAGATCAGATTGCCCTCCATAATCTGGGTGGGCCACATTTATTCAGTTAAAGACCTTAAGAGAAAAAAGACTGACTTCCTCTTCTGTGGAAGAGGGAATTCTGCTTTCAAACTGCCTTTTTAAATTTTATTTCATTTTTAGCGTGAGTGGAAGAGAGAGGGAAAGACCCAGAGAAACACATTGATTGGTTGCCTCCTGTATGCTCCCTGACCAGGGCCCAGGCTGGGGAGGAGCCTGCAACCAAGGTATGTGCCCTTGACAGAAATCAAACTGGGACCCTTTGGTCCAAAGGCTGATGCTCTATTCACTGAGCCAACTGGCTAGTGCCCAAACTGCCTTTAGACTTGGACTTCAGATGCAACATCAATTCTTCCCTGGGTTTTCAGCCTACTGGCCTTCCCTGTGGATTTTGAACTTTCCAGCCTCCACTAATCTCATGAGCTCATGCCTTATAATAATGCGTTTCTCTCCCCACTTCTGCCTTTCTCTCTCTCTCTCCCTTGTTCTCTCCCTCCTGCCCTCTCTTCTTCTCTCCTCCCCTCTCTCCTTCCCTCTCTCCCTCCTCTTCCCCCTCTCTGCTTTCCTC